GTTACCGCCGGGAGGAAATTCTTGCGGATTCCGTCGTTAACGGGAAGCGTAGAAAGGCGCGTGCCGGCGCTTAATTAAAGGAGAGGGGCGGACGCCACCGCGGCAAACGACGCGCGACAAATGCGGCCGGACGTATTGTCGGGAAGAATCGTGTCGACTCCATCGCGCCCGGCCCGATATTAGGGGGCATTTACCCGGTCGAATGGAACGGTCGGTAACCCAGGTAACGGGGAGTCTCCGGGGAAGCATCCCGCCACCGTTATTACCCGACATCCATCAAAACGTCTTCCCTCTGGTCTAGCGACCCCGGTTAACCGGAATACGCGTCTTTGCCGGACTCCCGAGTATCCGGTCGACCGCCCGGACCCGGACAAAGGTACGAACTGAGCCATTCCCGGGTTAGGTGGAGGCTAACGACGAATAAACCGCGGAGAATCCGGCCAAACCGCAACTTCCGTTGCCTCTTCGACGGCTTTGTCGGTCAGAATATTGCTTGGCGACGAAAGAAGACTTTCGTCTCGCGCTCCAAACGCTGGCGGCGTCCGACGCTCCCGCGGAAATGTCGGAGGTCGTCCCGGATTAAGGGACCGACCAAGGCGGGTTCGGACGGAGCGTGGATGGGCGGAAACCGACGGGAACGGTTTATCCGACCGCTAACCCGCGCCGACTAATTAAGCTCCCCGATCCCCCGTGATCCCGGGAACCGGCTGACTAACGGGAGGCCGCGCGCCCGGCTTCCCGGGGGAAGAAAACGTCATTAAGTCCGCGTAATCTCCGTCGAAGACCCGAGCGGAAAGAGACTATTCTCCGTCGTCCCCCTCCAGGATTGGTAATCCTCCCTCGGCGCGGCCCACCCGGCAACGGATCGACAGTTTCGCCCCGACGTCTACTTCCTCCGTCCGTCAGTCGACGGTCGAGCGTGGCTGGGCTCTGGCGTTTCCGCCGGAAGAACGGGGTTCGAACACCAGTTGCCGGGGAAAAGACGGTTTTTAATGGGAACGCCAAAGCGAAAACGTGGCGTCTCTTTCAGAAATTGTCGGAGAAAGCGTGGTCCATCCTCCCGTTACGATCGAACGCGTTACCCGTTCGATGGTCATCCTCATTGTACGAAGAGAGACTACGCCTTTCCGCGCTTTACGTCTGGCGTCACGGAACGATTCTCGATCTCCGCGGATACAAACGTCTGTCCTCGTGCCCCGTTTAATTCTTAAAGTAGAAGCCGGTGTCACGGGAACGTAACGCCGAGAAAGAAGCCATCGACGGGTCCGGGTCCGGGGACGAGCCGACAAACCGAATTGTAAATTCTTTGTGATTTTGCATTGGTCGTACGTTTTACGGTCCTTAATTAAGCGTCGGCGTTTTTACCAGGAAATTAGTCGCTGGCAACCCGGTGTCTTTAAACCGTTAGTCGGGATTTATAATTGTCCGTACGTCCATTGTCGAACTTCTAAGCTTTATACGCGTTTGGTTCGGAGTGGATTGACGGGACAGCGATCTTCTAAGGAAGGGTGTCGCCCGGTAGGTCTGGCGGGGAACTCGCCCCTATTTAAGCGTTTAAAACGTCGACTTCGCGCCACCGACTATTAGTGTTCGGTGGTTTTCGGTCACTTCGCTACTCCGTTGGTCCGCCGTGCCCAGGATGGCCGTTGGTGAGACGACGGATTCTCAAAAAAAACAGACGCTTCCGCACCCGCCGTTAATTTTGCCATAATTGTAGGAAATTAGGAAGTTCCGTACACTCAGTTTTCGCCGCTTTAGGTCTGGCCTAACTGAAAATCGACACCCGTGCCTCCGCTTCGGGGTTCTTTCCTCCTCGCGCGCAAAGATACGCCATTGCCCTCGACCTTCTATCCCGAAGCGAAGAGACGAGGGGCCGCGGGGAGGCGCTTCCTTTTTCTTCCGTCCCGGAAAGGGTTGCGGCGGGGAGAGAACGGTCAGGCGGCAACCGGCCCGGGTCGTCGGCCGTCGGACGATAAACGCGTCGGCGGAGCGTGAGGGAGGAGCGGCCGAGCGGAAGTAACCGCGTCTGGCACGCGACGGGAGAGGGCGGCCGAGAATTTAGGAGCGTCCCGAGAGTGGTCGAGAACGCGTGAAATGAAGACGGATGTCGACGGGAGAGGCGATCCCCCGAGGCGCGCGCGACACCTCGATTTACGCTCCGCATCACTCTTAATTCTCCGCCGGCTGCGTCCTCCACCGGCCGGAAAAGGTGGCGCTGGCGACGGGCCGGTGGTCGGCGGGCCGGCCACCCGGGGCCAAGCGGGTAACCCGAGAGAATAATAAAAGGATTTTCGGCCGGTCGATTCCTTCTTCTCTTCGCCTTAATTCCCCGGAATTAAATTTCTTCTCTTCCCAAACCCCGCCCTTTCTCTATCTCTCGGACCGTCCCGGCCCAGCCATCCCGGGCCACGCGCAGTTGTCCGGGTTTTCTTCGCCTCTTTAACGCCTAAATAGGGACCTTCCGGAAGGCGTCCCCTAGGCCGACGGCCCGAATGTCGCCTCGTCGTTACTATTGATAAAAGAAAACAGCCGGACTCGAATTAACGGCGAATTTCTCCCTTTCGGCGCGGATGGGCCCGCCCAGAAAGCCGCCTTTATTGATATTTCCTTTATTTAACAAAACCGAAAACGATTTTAAAGACTGCGACTGGCGCGAAGGGCGGACGACGACGTACGTTTTCGGCCGCAGGGTGTCCGAGTTTTACCACGTAAACGGCAAAAACTGCCAAAGTGGAATAAGAGAATCTGAAATGCCCCCGCCCGGTCGAGCCAGGCCGCGCTTTTGTCGTCGAAAGCGTCCCGTTGGCGCGGGCCACGTATCTATAAATGCCACGAGTGCGTTATTAACAAATAACCAAACTTCTGTAGGGCCTCGTCCTCTATCCGCAGTTTATGGCCATTCTCGACCGTTGTCGGTTAGGTCGGCGGCTGGCGTCTTAAACGCCGCCCCGGTGCAAAGATTCGATTAGAGACGGGGTGTGGAAAAGACGTAGCGCGCAAATTGCCTACACGCTCGGGTTAGGCAATTTGCACGCTAGTGTATCACCTCTTCCGCCTTTCGTCGGTGGCCACGTCGTCCCTTTCGTATTCCGAATAACAATCGAGGGTGGAGAAAATTCCGCGTGACACCGAGAAGGAAGAAGCGGAGGGAGAAGGGAGAGGAAGTACGAGTCGACCCCCCTATAACGCTGTTGATTTTTCCGTTTTATACGAATTCCGTGTCGTACGAATCACTTAGATTTTACAAATACGCCAGCCGTTCGCAGCCCGGCACACGTATTTGTAAAATCTAAGTGACTCGTACAACGCGGAATTCGTATAAAACGGAAAAACCAACAGCGTTATAGGGGGATCGTGTAATGCCGGGAGAACGGCCGACAGGTATTGGGATCGGGCCACCCTCCCCGGCCACCTCGCCGCCCGAGTTACGCGGAGGGTGGTTTACCGTTACGCCGAACCAACGACAAAAAAAGTCGTCCTTCGACGCCAACAATATCGCGCGTTGTTTTCCAGCGGAAACGGAAACGCGCCATCTGTCGTTCGATTAACGAAACACGAAGACGGAAATAAAGGGGCGACGCGGGTTAAGGTTTTCTCGGCGCGTTTCTTCTCTTCGTTCCTACGGGTGAAATTCGAAAATCCGAATTTACTCCCGGAAAGACCGGTTCCCAGACCCTTTTCCCCTCAAATGGGTTCCCGCGCCCACAATTTCCGGGTTTTTTTCCGCTTTAGACTCTGGCGGGGAAGACCGACGTCGAGTAAGGAAAAGGAGCGTGGACGCGGTCGACTCGAATTGTCCTATCGACCGGGAAGTTTGGCCCCGGTCGGAAGGATGGCTCGGGCAAAAAGATAGTCCGGGATAATTATTCCGTATCGGATTTCGGCGGAATTGCCGGTTCTCGTTTCCTTTCTTCTAAACTCCGGTCGGAACCCCGTCTCTTTCTCCGGAAGCGCGCTTCCGACGAAAAGTGGCGGTCCGCCAATTTCCGGAAAAGGCGGAAATCGACACCTCTTTCGGCCGTTTGTTTTCTTTCGTTTCTTCCGGTGACCACCGAGGGTCGATTTCCGGTTTACGGGAGGAACCCGAACCGTGTTAATGGTTCATTTGCCCGTACTACAACGGCGGCGTCACTAGGGAAAGAGTTAACGAGAAAGAATCCAAAACGATGTAATCCCGTCTCCGCTTAACACCAGGAATAAAAACCACGCTAAACGCTGTTTGAAATTTGTGTTTTCCACTGGCTTCCGGTGTAATTATTCTGGGTTAAGGACGGACCTTTCTCTATCGGCGCCGCTGTCTTTATTCCCGGGATTGGTGCTCCTCTTTCGTTCCACGCATTTAAATTACGTCCCTTTTTATCGACCACGCCCCGCTCGAAGACTAATTGGCCGGTCCGTCCTTTCTCGTCTCCCGTTTGGTGGCTCTTTGTCCTCCACGTTATTAATTAATATAACGGAAGGAAACCGAATTGCATTTTATTTTACGCCACTTGTCGACAGACCCGTCGATAAATTTACCTACAAGTAACCAACTTACTGGGATTTTGCCCTCGTTCCGCGGACCGGTTGTCCGTGTCCCGTCGTTTCGCCTCTCCCTTATCGCCCACAGCCGTTACGCCGGTTACGCGCCGCCTTATCGGGTTCGTAACTCGAGTTCCTTTACGGCCGCGGCTATATTCGACCGCCCGGGGCAATTAAGTTTTCCTACGTCGCCCTTCCAATTCGCTAACGCATCCCTTTTTCCGATTCCTTTGTTAAACCTATGTTTAAGAAAGGCCGTGGCCGGATCATCGATTTTTCCGTCCAACGCCCACTTTGTCGAAAGTTTGGCCTGGGCCGGATCCCGCCCTAAATCCGACGGCCCGGCCTCGCTCCCTCCCACCCATAAGAGGCCGAGAAGAGAGCGTTAACCGCCGACGCCTCCCCCTTTCCGTCGTCCGTTCACCCTCCGCGCCGGCCACCGACCGGGCCAAACCAAAACTTTTTTCTTTCGTCCGCAGCCTGCAACTGCAATCTGCACGCCAGAAGATGCCGCTTCAACATGGAATTGTACAAACTGTCGGGCAGGAAGAGCGGAGGAGTCTGCCTCAAGTGTCGACACAACACCGCCGGACGGCACTGCCACTACTGCAAGGAGGGATACTACAGGGACGCCACCAAGCCCGTCACCCATCGGAAGGCCTGCAGAGGTGAGCGCCGTCTCCGTCTCTAATCCTTCGGCACACAACCCACTGTCTCTCCCCGGGCTGGGTTAAACGGATACTAATTAATTCGCCACCTCGCCCAGTCATTGTGTATCTAATACTAAAGGTCACGGCCCGGTCCGAATTGGGGGAATTTCTATTTGGGGCCATGGAAAAATGCTTTACGCGCCTTCTCCAGTTGGATAAAAAGACGAGAAGGGGAGGCCGACGAATGGCGATTTGGTAGAAGGCCGTTTATAGACGGAAGGCCGCTCGGTGTCCAGTACGTCGCTAGGAGACTACTCGTTTGCCTCTGCCCCCAGTCGTTGGACCTTTGCCTCTTTCGATCGTCCGGATAGTCGGATCCTTTCCTTTTACTCCGGTAAGGGACGCCAGTTTTTCCAGATTGGACCCGTATATATCGCCCCTTGGCCACCATATACGGAGGTAAACCCGGGTCGTCGTCCCGATTTTGGTTCCGTCCGAAGACGGAGAATTTTCAAACCGGTAAAGTGTCTGTCCGCCTCTTTACTCCTTTCTCGATATCCGGGAGACGCGCCACTCCCCGCTATTCGCATCGACGCCACCCCCGACCTGGGTACGAAACACGCCAGGCGATAGTTTCGAAATATGGCAGGTGTGACTGGGACTTAAACGGCCGGGTCGAATGGCCCGATCGAGTCCTTCCACCCGATTTAGCCCAACGTTATTCTACGGATTTGCCAGGAATCGCCCCTCCAAAGTAGCCGCTCGTCCACCTTCCGATTCCACCGCCGGGGACAAAAGCGTCGGTCCAGGGTCAAACCCGGGTAAGCCGATTCTCTGCGCGGACCTCGCTGCCTCCCCCGCCCACCAGACGGAAATAAAAAAAGCACTCGACATCGGTCCGTGTTATTGCTGGCCGACGACGGTGATGTGGAGTGTTTGTCCAGACGCCTCCGCCCCCTTGGTGGCTCTTGGAGGACATAAACAATGGGATATTAAGGACCGCCGGAACTCTCGACCTTCCGGCGTCCGTCCGTGGATGGCTTACGGGCCGAGAGTCCTTCTCCTTCCGTCTTCTGTCCAAACGGAGGGTGGCAGAAAAAAGTATTTCTGAAGCCCAGGCCTTATTATCCAATAAGTGTGACTGAAAACTACTCCGGAAACAGAAAACAGAATTCTTCGTTTCCAGGAGCGGAAAATCCAGTTTAAAAATGTTGGAGTTTTCCTCGGTCGTGGGTCTCGGAATTCGAATTTCTGTTTCTCGTAAGAGGACGTGTCCAGATCCCACTCGTAAACTGAATTTCCGTTTTCCGACCCCGGACATTACATTACTTCCGCGACTTTACGCGCTTTTACAATTCGATTTTCGAAGAAAGCTGGAAAAGTCGTTAGGACTGGGAAATTTCTCGCCTAAGGTGTGACTCAGGGAGGAGGACGGCGCGAATCCTCCATTCGTCTGTTATATCTGCTGGCCATTTCTCGTTACCTTAGCGGGCTCTTTAGTTCGGAAAAGGTCCGTTACCGGAAGTAACCTCGGTCCGGTGTTTCTTTCAGCCTGCGACTGTCACCCCGTAGGCGCTTCGGGCAGGACCTGCAACCAGACCACCGGCCAGTGTCCTTGCAAGGACGGAGTGACCGGCGTCACCTGCAATCGCTGCGCCAAGGGCTACCAGCAGAGTCGATCTCCCATCGCTCCTTGCATTAGTAAGTATCCGGCCAGTGACGGATTCCACCTCTCGCCTTTATCCGCCGCGCCCTTTATACATTCTCCCATTTAATCTTCCGTATTTTGCAGAGATCCCGCGGATCGACGCGCCCAAGCACTCCGTCTCCTCTCAAGGTAACCTTTATCTCATCCACCTCCACCCGGGGGACTTTGGTCTAACGCCTCCGTTTTTCTTCGTCAGACAGGTGCGCCGGCTGCAAGGTATCGAAGAAGAGAGTCAACCTGAACAAATACTGCAAGAGGGATTACGGTGAGTCCCGAGCTCTTTACTCTTTCCGCTCTGGTTTCGCCCCATCCCACTCGATTTCCGTGTCCGGGCGCATCGGGCTGGGATGGTGCGCGGAAGCGTCTCGTCTCCTTCTACCCTAATTGATCCTATTTGGTAAGAACGGTGCCCGCCACCGAGTAGGCTGGCGTTCCCGAACGACTCGATAAGGTTGTTGGAATTGCAGTTAAGTGGGAGGGCCGGAACCGGGGAGAGAAGGGTCTTCCGCTTCCGGGATTCTCCGTCGCCAATCGGCGCTCCCGTTTTAGCCAAAGGAGGCTACTTCCGTCGTCACTTACGGGCGGATGGCTTCCTTTGACGATGGCGGGACAACCGGATGGCACGGATAAACGCGTCGAGGGGAAGTGGCTCGGCCTCTTCCAGCCCCTACTTCGAGAGGAGAGTAATTGAGGGATTTATGGCCAGACGGTAGCGCCTTGTTTTTACAATAAACACGTGTCCGCTCTTGCCTTCCTCCACCATCCTCTCTACACCATCAAACGATGTTATAAGGGAAGGACCAATCGAAGCGAAATTAAAAGGAAGAACTTGTTTGCTTTCCGTTTGCCACTCGCCTCGATTTACTTTCACGTCGAAATTTCCCAACCTCGTATAATGCCACCGATTTTTCTGGCGCATATTCGGGACCAGTAGAATATTTCGAGGCTCCCGTTTAACCGATCAGACCTTCCGCTATTTCGGGATGCAGCGGCTCTTATTTCTCCGAGACCATCTTTCGTTTACATTTTAAATTAAACTGACGAAGAAGCCACCCGGCCAGGTCGTTGATCGGGCGCGAATAAGCCAACCGATAACTGCGGTTAAATACCGCGGGTTTCAATTATTAAACCCGGATAAACGAGTTTAGCATCAGTTTAAGAAAGTTTCGTCTACGCTTGCCGATTAAGACCGGATTACAATTGTATCCCGGTTAACCGAGGAGGAATCTTTCCTTCCGATCATCCAACCGAAATGGAAAACTAAGGCTCCCGTCGGAGGGTTTAAAAGGGAAGCGAAGGATTCCCGGTTCGAGCGTGGCCCCGGGTCCGCCCCTACGACCCAGGCACCAGGCGCCGCGCTTCATTAGCCCCCGGGTGCTGCCCCAACGAGTCCAATAACTTAGTTTAATTTACGTTTCGGGAGAAGCGGGAGAATCGGTCCGTGAAGCCCGGGATATCTCGACTTTCCACGCGCGCCCTGCCACGGAAACGGGCAACCTTCCGACGTGTAATTTATTACGTAAAGTCCGTAAATCACGAAATTCTCCGGATATCCGGCCCGACTCGTTACCGGATTCCTCCCACGGGGCCGGAAAGAGGAAAAGGTTGCCGACACTTTATAAATCTTCCTTCCAACCCTATCGCGGACTTATCCCTCGGCCGCCCGGGTTCGGACCCTCCCCATTTCCCCACCCGATCGTTTCCGATTCCGGAGACGGCGGTGGGACGGAAGTTTCTCCTACCCGTTTCTTCCGCGTGAGTTCGACCGACTCGAAACTAATTTTGCCTCCTCTTTTTGAGGCTGGCTTTGGTTTTGTCCACGTTTGACCCTTTATGCCGGTGAGCGCCAAAACGGCCCTTTAATCCATAACTATTGATAACTATGTGATCAGAGCTATAACTGATATTCAGCTTTAATGCAATCTCTCTTATAGTGATGTACTGATTTTACAGATCATTCCATGTACAGTACTGTACATGCTGACCAATATCATCTATAGTCACATCTATAGTGTGGTTGACTGGACCAAGCATCATCATTCACAAACCCATTTACTCCATTCGTGCACACGAAATTATCTCAACCATTCTTTGGTGAGATTTCCAAACACCAACACTTTCATAAGTAAGTGCATAATAACTCGCTGCTTTACTCATTTCCATACTACATTTCTGATAAAGACTGACACTACCACAAATGCAATGCACACAGCTTACGTGGCCTCGCTGGTGTGACATCCTAGACATTGGTGGTATGGTAATTGCTTCAATGAATGGCATAGTACATTCTTAACAAGTGAGGTATCCAACTTGTTTAATAAAAATTTTTATTAAACAATTATATTACGTGACTAGACAAACATTATAAAATATGTATGAATTATGATTACATACATGGCACTCAAAAGAAGACCTCATAGTTTGCAAGCATTGAACATTTTATACACTTACATGCCCTATATAAATAATTGAAAAAGATTATCTTATTTTTTAAATATTAGATTAAGAAATGCACACAAACAGTCATACAAATGAATTAACTGTCATTAATTATTTTAAATAAATCAGTTCATTTAACTTAAATGCCACTTTAACTTCATAAAATACAGGCTAAACGAAAAATAGTTTTAACGCCAATTAGGTGGCTAACCATGTTCCTTCCAGCGAAATCCGCTATCGTCGCCGTCACCCTTTAATTTAAGGGAAGAAAGACAGAATCCGCGCGATTTCGGTGGAAAGAAACGCGAATTTCGAGGACGGGACGACTCCGACTTTAGTACGAAAGAGGTTTCGAGGTGGACTACCCCGGAGCCTTTCCTTCTGTGACGAAATTCGCTGGATTCGGGTGTGGCGCCGGAACCCATCGCCCTCCAGCAAATAAGGGCGGACCAACCTCCTCACCCGTTCGCACCCCGGCTATTCCCCGCTTCTCATTTTTACTTAAGTTCGTTTGTTGGCCCGTTCTACTTCCGACGCTTTTCCGATACTTTTTTAGTAGAAACTACCCTATTGTCGGAAGAGTGACGTTGGTCGGACAATTTGAAGGGAAACTTTGGCCCGGAACGGAAGCATCTATCGTCTAAAGCGGTTAATTTCCCCAGACTTTCTTAGAATTACGTGGAGAAAATCGCTAATTAATCCGCGCCCTGGCGTCGGAAATCCATCTGGTTTCGTAGACAAAGCGTAACGCGTGGCTTTAAATTGATCGTCTCTGTCGGCCAGACTTTTCTCATTAATAAAACAGTGGCGCGCGTCTCCAAAGCCACGTCATACTTTTTTGTCGCGCACCCCCTTTCGACTACGCCTAATCTTCGGAATATTGGCCGACTGCGGCCATCCGTTTTCTTCCACCCGAAATCGAAAGCTGTTCCCTAATTGCGTCCATAGAAACGCTTCCCCGTCCGGTTTCGGAGGTTTAGTCTCGGTCCTTCCCTCTTCCTAAGTTCTGTACTACCCCGACCTGGGTAGTAGGCCGGATCAGAAACGCCCGATAACTTACGCTTACGCCGGATTTGTTGTACCGTAATTCCGCCGCCAGTCTTAAGTGTTTCGAATTAGCAATTACATTAGTAGGGCGCGAATTAATCGTTTTAAAAATAAAATTAAAGACTCTTGGCGCGAACACTAAACGATGGTTGCCTACGGGTCCTCCATCTCACCGAGATCATTACTAGAAGGCGGAAGAGTCGGCCGAGAGATTGGGTCGAACAATTAACCAACCATTATCTAGGAAGCGGAAGGAATACCGGCAGAAAAGAGAAGCCGAGTTTCCTTTTCATTTACCAGCGCGGTACAGTATAGTACTTTTACCCAGCCGACGTCAAAACCCTCATCCCTGAGAGTCGATGAATGTTTTGTTTACGTCTTAATTAATATAGAAACGCCAAGAAACTGGTGTCGGAATAACTTTACCGGCGGAAGTAGGCTACGGATAATTCGTCGTGGCTTCCCGAGTACGGCCGACGTCATTTCCGGAATTAAACGATATTTTCGGTCGAACTTATAGAAAGCGCGATTAGGCGAGCGTCGAGTAAACGCCAAAATTTCAAAGTAGCCATTGCGCGCTACGCCAGTGAACAAAGCGCCGGCTGGCACGGACAGTACCCTACCCGCGCGCATCATACGTGGCGATGTAGGAAAACAGTTAAACAATAACACTGGCACGGAATCCCGAAAGTTAACCGTTTTACCCTTTCATTTCCGTGGAAATTTTGTAAAAATTCTTACGTTATACGGGCTTTAATTTACTCGGATATTAAACTGTTTATTCAACGAAGGATGGCGGAAATGCCATCTGTTGCCGGAAGCGGGCATTGGCTCTCGTTTTATTTCGTCGTAGATCTTACGGAAGAAATTAAAGGTCGAAAGACACCGCTGGCCGGAAATAAATCGAGACGACGTTTCGTATAAAGTCGTACTCCGTACGGCTCCGTTTTAATTTAACGTAACGGGTTACGCCGGAGATACCAATTAACGCCGCGTTTCTCCAGTCTCCGGCTAAGTTTTATCGTTTCTGCGGGCCGAAATCTTAAGAAATTTCTTCGTCCGGGTGGCCCCAAGTTGCCGACCGCGCGCTCTCCCCTGCCGGTGTCGTCGTTTTGTCCGCCGGGTGCGGAAGGCCTTTCTTCGTTTCTCCGGGATCCAGTAATAAGCAGATTTATCACTTATTGTAGCCTAATTTTGTGCCTAAAATTAAATGATAAACGCCAGAGGACCGGAAACGAAGGAAATTTTTTCCGGAGGACGGGAAGCCCGGGAGTCGCCGGGTAACGTCGGAAAGGGAATATTTGCCCAAAAATTCCGGCATATGGCGTAATTAGGGAAATTCCTTTATCCGAACGACCGAGTGGCCGAGAAGGACGCGTCGATTGGCGTAGAAGGGTGAAAGAAACGAAATAATCGTAACGCGAGAAATGGCGGACTTTACCAAGTATGTCGACCAAGGAAGTAAAAGGCCAGGCTGGGATGGGAGTCTTTCCCATCGCTTTAGCGAAATTTCGTATTTAACCCGCCACTCTTTTCGTCGATTTACCCACATCTTTCGCATCGACGTCACCGCACCGGAACCAGAAATTTGCCCAACTACGCCGATTGGCGGAATTGGAAGGGAAACGTTCTGTCGGAGCGTCGCCCGGCAACGCCAGCCGCCATCGATTCTCTGGTGGAAAAAGTCGCCCCTCGGACTCGTATTCCAGAAAGGAGGTGCCCTCATTTGGTCAATGACGACGTCAACGTCCGTTCTCGATATCACCTCCGGTGGGCGAGCGAATACGTTTCGTGGCATCGGATTCCTAGGCAACGGACGAGTTAACTACAAAAATCGTAGGTAAAAGCCAGTAGTCGCTTGTCTTTAAGCCATCGAAACTTTTCTGTTTGAAAAGTCCAGGGAGAGCGTTACGTAAATCCTTTGCCAATGTCGTACTCCAGAAGCGCGTATTAAGGAAATTCGGACTTACAAATGTTTTGCACTTTTATAAGATTTGCCGCGAGTATTCTCTTCCCAATAAGCCAAAGACGACGTTTGGCCTGGAATTGCCGATCTTTCGCTCGATTTACTGAGATTTCCTCGGACGCGAACTACGCGAAGAGGGAAGAAGGGCGATCTTCTTCCCTCTTGGCGTGGTTTTTCGCTTCTAAAATGGCGACGGAACCCTTTTAGGCGTAGTGTTCCGGCGCGGGCGTAATCCGCCGCATCGTCGGTTTCTAAAAGTATAAAAATCTTTTACAGCCATGCAGGCCAACGTCTTGTCCAGGGAGACCTTGGGAGAATGGGTGAGATTCACCGTTCACGTCATGCAGGTGTACAAACAAGGACCGAGTAAAGTCAGGAGAGGAACGCAGTTTCTCTGGGTCAGTCTGGCCGATTTGGCCTGCAAATGCCCTAAACTACGCGTCAAAAACACCTACCTCATCTTAGGTAAGTTCTGGGATTTACTTTTTTAAACAAATATTTCTAGCCACGCGTTATATACGGGCGAGACGCGGATTCGACGCCGTTTAATGACCTAAATTGGGGGAGAAGAAACGAAAGTGTCCTTAATAGGCCACGCGGTTCCACCCTCCGCCGGAAAATTGTAAACGCGCATCTTGAAAAAGTAAGGAAATGTGCCAGATGTTTGGAAGGACATTTTAAAATATTTTACCGATAGCCCAGAGACCGGTCGAGTTGGGGGTGGCCTTAATCGTATATGGCGCGTGTTTAGTGTCGGATTTGGTAATTACGTAGGTGCTTTTTATTTTCGGAAAGCCGTCTTTTTACGAAAAATACCCTAATCGAGAACGTAATTGTTTCTTCGAAATTTCCCTCTCGGCGGGTGCGCCCAATCGCGACACCTTGGTCAAATAAAAGTGAAAAACTTGCCTTAGCCCTTTTATTTACTTAAAAGTTTCGTCCGTAAAAAGCAATAAAAGCATTTTATTCTCCACAAAAATGCTCGAGTTTATTGTCAAGGTCGGACGAACGGGTGGGCCGGTCGATAGCGCCCTTAACCCCGTTCGCACTGGAGAAAACGTAAAGTTTCCCGTGGCCATACGCAAAAACGAAAAGCCTATAGCTAATAGACGGCCCATCTCTGACCAGCGGGACGGCTCGGAGACGTATCCGGGTCTGCCTGGCGCTACGGAGGCTCGTTGATGCCAAAATAGTTTTGTTACTTTAAAATACGGTGTAATAACGCCTAGCGAATGGCTTCAATCAGGCAACAAAGGTAATTCTAAGGCAATCGACTAACATTCTCCGAAAAACGACAAACGACACGCGTCTTTGTTCCCCGGTATTCTGAAAATGCCGGTCCCCTTAATTCCGTTTTCCATCCCGGTTACCTCCCGCTCCGTCCGACGGACACCCAAACACTCGAATATGTGTACCCGTTGGGTGGGTCGGTACACTCCTTCGGTCCGAAAAGGAGGAACGGAAGCCATTTGTTAGGAAAGGGGTGGGGAGGGGCGAGACGAACGAAGCGAGTAACGACGTTTCCGTTTCAGGTAAAGACGACAGACACTCGGAACATCCGGGTCTGTCGGCCGACGGTCGCAGCATCGTCATCGAGTGGAAGGACGATTGGGCCAGACGCCTGCGACGGTTCCAGCGGCGACAGAGGAAGGGGAGATGCAAGAACTGACGCGGGCGCCTCCGGATCTCTTCGGCCACGGTCGCGCGCGGATCACCCGTAGCCTTTCCACCTCCAAATTCGAGGCGACGTCCCGCCGACGGCGCGGCGCGGGAGGAGACGGCGTTTTCTTCCGTCGGCCGATTCCCCATCGTCGGTGGGGGACGCGTCTCTATCGAGTTCCTATAGCCTCTGTGTCGTGTTGGTGTGGTCAAGTCTTTCGCTCGACGCGCGTTCCGGTTCCCATCGGTCCGCCCATCTCTGGTGGTCGACCGCCCCCCTCCGAATAAGAATTACAGCGGTTGCGAGAAGCGGGGCGGCGGTCGTTCGGATTGCGATTTTTTTTCTCACCAGGTATTTCCAGGTTCGGACCGTCGAGTTCCGCTTTAAACGGACCAGACGGAACGACGGGAATATCGCTAAATCAAAAGACTCGAAATAACGTTTTTCTCCGTTATTTTAATTTGGCGCAAAACTCGGGCCTTTGGCGGGAAATGGCGGCTGGCGAAGAAGAGAAGGGCAATTCTTGTCGGTCCGGAGCCTTCCCAACGGCGACCGACCGAGATATAAAAACGGAAAGGGACCGCGGGCGACCGGCGGTCGGGACGATCCGGTGTTGCCACCGGAGACGCCTCTCGGACGAAACGGTTTGCGCCAGTTAAACGACAATGGCTCGATTCCAGTTTTTATATTATTATTATTTTTAATATTATTATTATTATTGCACTTTTGTATTATCGCACCTTCCTGCAATTTTGTATATAATTTTACTTAAGAAGGGCCTTTTATTTATGACGCGACGCCAAGGTACATTTTTCCATATTTTGTTCCGAGGAGTGGTCGACGTTACGACGCGCGCCGGACGGTTCCGTGGCGGGGTCGAGTCGAACGACGAGTCGTGGCTTCTTACGTGTCCGTGACGTAACCGAGATGTTGGATGTACATTCGATATATCGTTAGAAGGTAGCTTAATTCCGGTGGCCGAACGTTTTTGTACTCGGTCGAGTGCGGTATTGTCTTGGTTGTCGTCACCGAAATGTCTCCTTTTTCTTAATCTTGGACGTGTGTTTGGAAACGAGAAATTTCCGCCGGAAATATCGCAGTCTTTACTCTTAAAATAAGAATTATTCCGAAACGCTTACGACTCACGTTTCGTCTGGAAGAAATCGTCGGTTTGACAAAGATTTAACTCTAAGAGTTTGTTAAAGATTTTAAAAAAATATTTCTCCATAAAACTCATTTTGTTGCCGCTTTAATAAATTTTGAGTATCGAAATCCCGACTCTTTTCTCTTTCTTTACCGTTTTCGGTTCGGCCTTAACGTCTAGGCGGACGGTACCGCCCTTTGGCCGGTTCCGTCGCCTGGCGTTAAAAACACCGACCCAAACTAAGCCTTTCGCCCTCTCGTTCCTACCGACGACTTTTCAATTTTCCACGATCGATGCCCGAAAAGTTATTAACGTCGTCCAATTTCAATGGTTCGACTACGATATCGGTAAACTATTAATATTTGCATATTAAAACATTGTCACTGCGAATAAACGACGAAAAATGCCCGTTTTTACTTTTTTTTTATTATCGTAGACGTTTTTTACACAACTAACATTCGTTCGTACTCAATTAATTGCTTTTTTTGTTTTGTTTGTTTACGGCCAGGCGACGCGCCGAGGAAGGATGCCTCCCGAGACAACTTTTTATGAAAAACTGGCCCGTATTTAGGTGTTACTAGGCCTAACGTAAAAGAAAGCTGGAAAACGTCGCTCGATCGGCTAATTGGCCAAGCGTAAAGTCGCGTCCAACTACCGGTGTTGGCCGGTTTTATCCACCAGCCACCGGCCAGCCAAAAATATACTTTCTTCAATTTTTAACACTCCGCGCCCTTTCGATGCTAAGATAATCTTTATATCGAGCCTGGCAAACCGAAAATGGGAGGGCCGAGTGGTAAGAGACGGGTTTTGACGTATCCGAGACCAACCAAAAATTCCTAGGGTCTTTGATTCGTCCGGATTCGTTGCCAGGTCACCGGGCGGTAGGTCGATACCTCGACCCACTCGGCCATCCGTCTCTTTCGAGAACCGAAACATTCAGGAATTTATTTTCGGAAACGTTGAACAAAAATACGAAATAATCTTTAAAGTAAAAATACGTTTCCAAAAAAGTCGAGGACACAAATCTATTCCTAACGTGGCTAAGACATTGAAAGTTTCGCATTAATGGAGATCCGTCGTATCGGAAGCGGTTCTCTATTAATGGCGGCGGAAGAGCCATTCGACCAGATAGAAACCGAAGAGTATTTAAACTGCGAGAATTTCCAGTAAAGTTTCTAGAGTAGAAATTTCGAAACTTATACAATAAAGTAAACGATATAAAATATTCTGTATATTTTATATTTCTTCCGGACTAAGCGCAGCTTTACCATAGGTCCTTCGTTCGTTTAGCTACGCTCTCGACGAGTAAATCAACGTAAGTTGTGATAATGGCTCTAATATATTTGGGCCAAAATACCCGTAAAAATTTTTGAGAATTAACCAGATTTATGTCCTGGCAGCGGCCAGTCGACTCCTTTAACATCTCCATATTTTGGCCCGCCAGGTATATATTAGGCCGGGGGTGACCGACAGTTTTTGCCCCCGGGCCCAATTGGAAAGAAAACTTTTTTTCACGGGCCGAACCAGAGGCCGCCCTAGGAAGATTTTCAGGTGGCGCGAGATCTCGTTGCGGTGTCGCACCGTAGAGACTAAATTGTACGTAGAGATTATAGATACATTTTTTACACTATCGTGCTTTATCTACATTCTACGCTGTACTTAAGAGATTTGTAATGGAGGATTAACTTTAAACGCGCACTGAGGTGTTGACCTTTTTTTTAGGCGTCAGAACTTTTCGTCGATCTTTTCGGACTCGAGTAGCTAATATTAAAAGACTAATCGCGGGCCGCATAAATTCGTTAGACGGACCGTACGTTGGCCACGCTCGCATTAGGCCGTAAGTAGTGTTCTGGCTCATCGCTGAGAAAGAAAGAAATCTCGTGCCGGGAAAGCGACTGGCTATTCTCGTGTGTAGTGTGTACCGAAAAGCGCTCGAGATTTTGTAAATTTTTTCGAGATCACTCACGCGCGAAACAAAATGTTTTTTTTCGAAAAATTCCAACTAGTTTTCGGTCCATCCGAAGAATTCCAATCAAATTTCCCAAAGGCAATAAATTCTAAAACCTTTAACCTATCAATCCGCGACTTTCTCGTGATATTAAACGTTGCAAACACCAACTACCTTAACAATAAATACTTATAGAAGTTATTAAAAGATATGTTTGCAACGAATGTGTTTAGTATTCCTACTCCCATTGAAAGTTGTGTATGAACTGCGTTTTCTTTCATAACCGATACAACACCGTGGAAAATGTATACCGCACTTTTTAATAATATTACTGTATAAAAAACAAATGGATTAGATTAGATAGACGACAGGCGACGATGCAACCCATTGAGTTTGTATCGTCATCTAGAGGCCGGGAGAGTTTGCCTTACAATACTTTCGATGGAAAACTGAACCTTTGACACACGTGAAGAAAACCAGAAAAACCCGCACGGCTGGTACTAATAGTTGGACCACTAATAACCGAACACTAATAGTTAGACGCGAATTCGCCTCCAACTATTAGTGTTCGGTTTATCCAGTCGGCTATTGCGGGCGTAACAATGAATAAGTGGATAACCTATTGTAATGAACTGTTAGCAAAGATTTAAGGAAGAACTCGTAAGATTGTAATGGAATTTTGTGATATAAATCCCTAAACATAGAACGCAAAAAAACACGCTGGGAATGTAGTCGCTGGCTATTTCTCACTTTTACTAGCGCGATTTTAGAATTTTTCACAAATGCGATTCGCAATAATCAGGATTATTCGACTCAGATATTTAAGATTCTCCATTAACTCACAGGTTTTTGTTTGAACCTAATTAAAAAGCATTCTCCGGTCGAAACGTTCAACTGTCACCACCTGGAGCGGAGACGGTTGACCATTTAACGATGTGGACAAACGAACTAATTTGGAGAAGAGCTAAAAAACACGGGAAAATACTGTTTATCCGGAATCACCGATAGAATTTCAAAGAGCACAGATTATAAAAGTAATGGATTAAAGTCAAAAACATTGTTATTCTTATGTATTGTTTTCATTGCAATAGGTATTAATACAGTTTTATTTTATTAGGAGACGATCATTTGTCCATTGCAACCTGGCAATAAATGGGACAAATAAGTAAATACTGTAACTATTCTATTTTCTAAACTTATAAAATTCTACTTTTAATCGATGATAGAATATATAATCTAAATATATAAAATTGCTTGTTCTGACTGACTGACTCACTGACTGATTCATCATCGCCCAGAGCAAACCGCTTAACCTAGAGAGGTGAAATTTGGTAGACAGTTAGGGTACGTCATGGAAACGCACACTAAGAAGGGATTTTTCGAAATTTCCCCGCTGGGGGAGAGGGAGAGCATTAAGGCTTAACCGGAAGAACGGCTTCTACTGTACTATTTTAGATGCGATTTTTTGTTTTCAACTACGTTTAGTCTTCATCGAGTACTTAGGTGTATTAAATTGATAACATTTCAGACATTGTTATAAATATTTTTATCTATTTCGATTTTAATTAAAAGTGTTCGATCCGTTTTAAATTCGAATTTGTTATTGCGTGTCGGTTCGATTATAGAACGATTGTAAACGTTCCAGAAAATTGATCAAATTGAAGATAGTTCGTTTGATTCTAGGCAATTCTCATCAGCGGTAGGTGTTATATAACAATTACTATGGTTATTGAAATATTGAATGTAAATGGGGTTTGCTTGCAAAACCTCCGCGGACGAAGTTGCGGGTAACAGCTAGTGTTTAATATTTTAGCTAAGCTAAGTTTGTGTTCTCCGAAGAACACATTAGAGCGCCTGATAATATTCTGAAGGTTTACCAAATATCTTCTATTGATACGAGGCGTGAATAAGGACGTAACTGATTTATACGTTTTCACTATCAAAAATTGTTCAAGTTATTCAGTTTTAAAAAAGTATTGTAAATATACCAATAGAGAGTCCTCCTCGGAAGACTTTCTAAACTATAAGTTTCCGATGGTATTGCGCGAAGTGAGGAAATCTTTTTTTCTTTCGTCCTATGTATGAGAGTTGTAGGCCCGCGTTAAGACATTTATCATTAGCGGTGAGAGTGCGTGGAGATTGATTTTGCCGAGTGTTATCTATGACTGATATCTACAGTTGGTACGAACTGCCAGTCAAAAGACTCTCTTCCCGTATTCTCTCCATCCCTCTCGCTCCTTCTTTAAACTACTGTATTTCTTTTAATTCTGGAAAAAAACAATTTTTTTCGGTGGCTTTGCCGACTATACGGTGGAATTTGCCGACATTGGGGACGCAACCTTCCCAGTAGCTCCGTCTCTGGATAGAAACATTGTCGAGCGTAATTCTGAGTTGATAGAATTATTATTTCATTAACGCATGAACGGACTTTTTGATATTTTTTTGACATAAAACAGAATAAATTAATATACCGACAGCATTCAATCATTACGCTGTGTACTGTGTGTAGTTGAATCTCCAATAACACTCTTACCGAAGCGGCCATTTTTCGGAACAGTTTTTTTGTTTTTAACAAAAATGTATTCAAATTAATCTCCAAATAACGACCACGTTTTATGTTCTCATCAGTGGCCGTTATTCAAAAGTTTGACTGTATAAACTAGGGTTTCTCATTTCCCGGTCTTTTGCTCGTCCCGGGATCCCGGGATAAAAGTGAACTGTTTCCCGGAATCCCGGGAAATCCCGGGATAGAATTAATTATTTTTAAGGTATACAAAATATCTCGAAATCAAATGATATAATTATTTTCCATTTTTTAAAGTAATTTTAAAGTTCTGTAACCTCCAAAACCATATTAATAATGCTGTGTAAGGTCTATAGGCCTATAATAAAAATTACCTTTAAATAAAGTAGAAATTTTCACAAATAGAAAAAAATTTAATTAAAGTTTGCTGGAAACTGCATACAACAACAAAAAATG